AGTTTTATTAGTAAAAATAATCTCAATCTTGATATATGTGCATATGTATGTCTGTATATATTTTTTTTCATCCAAAATAACGATTATTGCATGAGAATTAAAATATTTATTGCCGTTGTCAAGGATCTTTTTATGATCGTTGTAGTACGAGGTTTGATCAGAAAATAATCGTTATTTTCAAATTTCATGAGTTTCGTATGTTCGATCTTCGCTTTTTCTTTCCACCTCGATGGCATCTGGGGTTTGGAAAATACAAAATTTATTGTTGAAAATCCTCTCCGTTCTCAGCGTGTAACTGTTTGGTGCCGTTTATGGTCCGGCGGTGATGATTAATGATTTTTTATGGCCAGAATTGGTTGGTATTGATACAGACAACGTTTACTTTCAACAAGATGGCGCTACGTGCCATTGAAAACCAAACCTCTTATTGGAAAACCCTTACTTTAAATCAATACCGAATAAAAAAAAAAGAGTTTTTTAATTTAGATATAGTCAAATTGGTGACAACAAAGCGATACGCACATGTTAAGCTTAATAGACAAGATTAATTTACATATAAACAACAATAACAATAACATATAATAGTTCAACAATAGAAAAAAAAACAGTGTTTAACTATTCCCTACACGCTTCTCACAGAGCAAGTGTGTAAGAAGCAAAAAAAAAAAAAAAACCCCAAAATAAATCAATTCAAACACTTTATATTCAAAATTCGCATGAAATATTTGATATTCTAAAATTTTGACCGATCAAGCGCTCTTGTTTAGTATGTAGTAGATATTTCAATGGACTTTGTGCGATCGCGTGGGAATTTCGAGGCGTTGGCCATGTGTTCATATTTTTTGGCATGCATTAAATGTAGATGAGCTACGAACATACATACATATATATGTACATACATGTACATATGTAAAGCAGGGCGTATATGCATTTTTTAATAATAATATTTCGCAAGCTTTTTAGCTTCTTTTTTATTTTTATTTTTATTTTTATTTTATTTTATTTCTTGCACTGCTTCCATACAAAAAATTAATAAACATGACAAGTGGATGAATATTTTGCATTTTAGAAGCCAAAATACAGGGTTATTCATTTAGCGGCTTGGAAAAGATACGTAAATAAAATATATATTTTTTTCATGGAATTCCTTTCTTATTATAAAGCCAATTTCCGATTCCACCTGTAGACCAAAGAGCACAGCAGAGAGTGAGTTTTTTTGGGATTTAATGGTTTCACCTCAATTATTTGAGGATTTTCGGAGCCCCAAATACTACAATTTTGCTTTACGTACACCCCGAGTGACAAAAGTGCGTCGTCCCTGAAGAAAAGTTTGTTCGAAAAATCGCTTGCTGTAGCTCTTGAGAACGTCGAGTAGTAGACATATTTCGGTTATCAGCTATACCTGTCCTCACAGCAGCAGTATTTGAGGAGGAGAAAGTAAAACGATGATGCACAGGCCTTATAACATCAGCATCCGATATATATAGTCTCTTTAAATTGTCTTAAAATTTTCCCAATTGCAGGTGGTGGTTCATCGTTGGTTGAACGAAACATGACCACGCTTGAATCACCATTTTTGTAGTAGGTCTTAACAATTTTAAGGCGTTGTGTGGTTGTTAAGCGATCCATTTTCATAAATGCCTGACTTTTAACTAGTGGAAAACATGTTTGGTTTGACAGTTAAGTTTGACACCACGAAATGGATAATCCTATATACAATAAATGAAGCGCTTACGTGTTTCCTTCTTGTTGCATACTTCTATGTATAATATTTATATATATATACATATGTATGTCGCAGTACCACATACAAACATATCTGCATTATCTATTTCATAAAGTGTTTGGTACACACTCGGCAAGACGTGCCCTCGCCTCCTAAACGCACACACAAATTTAATTAACCAATTGCATAAACACACTATAACGATATACATATGTACATATGTAAATACATACTATCTTATCTGCATCGATAAATGCCTTATCTGAAAGTACGTATATAATTGTATATGTATGTACACAAAGTATTTTTACAATGTAAGTTTACTAAGCAGATCTTCAAGATAACACAACTCCCACATAGACATACACACGTATGTATGTATAAAGGTATGCTTCAAAAATGTTTCATACAAATATCCATATTGCATGCACTTTTAACTAACACAAGCCATTTTTTCTTTTTTTTCAAAATATTTCCTTAGTAATGACCAACTTAATTGTCCGAATTCACTGCGTGACATCAACTTATTTGACTGAAGCAAAGTACATATATATATACCTAGACACATATGTATGTATGTACTAAATAATACAAGCATGAATATACCTGCAGTATTAGGCGGCATGAACCCCTAAGGTGTGTCCTGCTGATAGAAAGAAATCATTCTGACACACGCAACTGTTGCTACAATTTAGCGAGCAACAAGCAGAGTTTTTGTTAAGTTTACACATATATGTAACTCAAGTCGGCGTAATAAAAGTGTGTTTTAAATTTAAGAGATTTTCGCTTTAAAAGCATCTACTCAAATAAATTATGCACTTAAGCATGTTAAAAAACAAATATAATAAAAATTTTAGAATGAATAAAAATATTATCTAAGTTTACCTAGAACAGGTCATAAATCGGCAAGTCTTTTTAATAGAAAAATTAACAAATAAACGTTGATTTGTTCAGCATACTGCAACTTGATGACACTCCCATGAGATTTTGGTAAATATTTATCAATAATTTTGTTTAGTAAAAAATAGTGAAGAGAAAAAACTATTACCGGATATTATTTTTCCATCCGTTCAAAATACTTGAGATTTTTTATAAGTTTGCTTAACAATGAAATTAATTATTGCTAAATCAAATAAAGCTGGAGTGTCAACATTATATAATGTGCCTATCCATTATATATTACCAAGTGTCTAGTTTGCCTACAAACATACATAGTTTTCATAGATAGAAAGTCCAAAAGTTACAAAATTGCGCAAATGTTATCCTAAATTAATATCAAAAAATAAAGTTATATACCTACATATTAAGTATTTGCACTTTTAGGTGTTTTGAATTGCGTAAGCACTTGAAATTAATGTGTAAATTAAATAAATTTGTTTATTCTAATCTTTTATTATGCATCTTAGCACAATGTAGGTTTTTGAACTTTAAGCCATGATTATTAAGAAGCTAAATAAATATGTATTCATCATGCATGTACAATACAAACTGAGTTTTATTAATATTAATAATTTGGTAAAGCTCATAATTCTATTAACACACATTCTTCATATGAGCGTGCCATGAATTTAGTTAAATAAAACTACATGAAATTATATTCCTCTTAGCACCTTTTTACTGAAGGGAAATCACCGGTAGTAATTTTAAAATAAAAATGAGATTTTAGTTAGGTCCTGCACGGCACGAGAAATTCTAAGATTCTACTAGAATATAGAAGAAATATTATAGACGCTCTGCTAGCATTATATACAGATACATACATCCTTCATCAAGCGTCCAAAATATGTCAAATGCTTCTTTAGCTGGTCGAAGGCAAGACTTTTATTAATGTTGTTGCTGATATGGGTAAACAGTTCAATAAATTAATATGAATAATATAAAATAGTTACATATAATATATGCACAATCCCATTTAACTATATCAAATTTAAATAGCCTACATCCGTCAGCAACAAAGGATTTGCACAAAAGGAAACGGAAAAATTATTGCCAACTACTTAATATATGTAAACATTTCAAATTTTACGATTTAACTCACTCATGGAATTCATGACCAACAATAATTAAATAAATTTCGTTTTATACAGCTCGAATTACTTAGAAAACAGACATTATTATAAAAAAAATGCAATTAACAATTAGCAAATTTAAGTAGGTAGAGTAATGTCAAAACAATTCCAGAATTTTATGTAAATTATATACAATTTTTGTTTCCTTTAGAATTCAGCATATTAAGTAGCCGAAAGCTATGATGGTCAAACAATTCCTGAGCAATGACAAACTCTAGGGTAAAAGGGTAGAAATAATATATGCACATATTTAAAATGACCAATTATTTGATTAATTAATTTACTAATCGGACAACAAAGCTATTTGTCAACGAAAACAACATACAGTTGCAAATTAATGGAAATTTTAAAACTTATCGATTTGGGAATAATGAAGGCAAAGTTCATTATTTATTTTTACTTGCTTTAATGTTTTTGTTTACACATTTATACAATTTTTTAACATTTTGATGTATATTTTACTTTGTTTTAAAAAATAATTTGGCATAATTTAGTTGGCAACACTGAACCCAAACGCTACGCAAAAGGTATAAACAAAAATGCCGGTACATTGACATTTAGAACAAGAAAAAAAGAATCATGTCACGAGGCAAAAGATATCAGGGTCATTTTTCTTCAACAATACCTACAAAGCTTTTTATCTAAGTGTAAACATATAAACAACCTAACGTCAATATCTAAATCTATTAAGCCAAATACCATTACAAATGAGCTAACAAAACGCAGTTAACTACCAATTAAAGTACCTCGTCCCTCTGTTATTTTACCCGCTAACAATTTCTATACAAACAACAGCCAAAGCATAAGCAATGATAAATGTCAAAAAATGCGACACTGCGCCACTGCGCCACTTTCGCATGTGACGCTTTCATTGCTTTTACTTAATTACTTTTCCTCTCAATTCTAGCTCTCTCCTTTCTTTTATTTATTTTAGAGATCTTTTTCATTTTTATTTATTATATTTGCGCTCGCCTCTCATTTTGCATCTCTTTATTCTTTATTCAATTTCTTGCACAAAACACTAAAAATGGGTGGAATTCCAATTTCACATTTTCACAGCGGAGCAACTGAACTCAATGCCAGGGCACAAGGGTGGGGCAGCAAGTGGTTATTAGAAAAAATTTGCCATTTCCACATTCCTTTTACGAATGCGATGACTAATCGTTTGAAGGATATTAATTAATTGGAAATAATTTGAAACTTACACTTTTAGCAATCAACACAGAATGGATATAACGCTGATAATATAAGCGTATGTAGAGAATTTATGTTATGCACACACACAAAAATTGTAAACGATGCTGCTGCGGGCGGGATGTTGCTTGTTAACGGACAATGGTCGTAGTTCTATTTTCCTTTTTTGTACACTAGAAACGCACACGAAAAGTGAAAGAAAACTGTCAATGACCAAAATTGAAACCGCAAAAATTGAACATTAACACTCGCACTAAGTATCTTTTACTATGGAACCGCTCTTTACAATTGCTAAAATTGAACTCGTACGAAATTGGCCGCTACTAGCTTATTTTAAATTGATGTTAAATATGGGCAGCGCGACCAAAATGCTACACTCGCTTTACACGCACATGTACAAAAACAGATTCTATCGATGACAGCTGTCAGTTTAGCGACTAGAGGTCGCCAGAAAACTAAAAAACAAAATCCCACAGAAAATATGTGAGTTGATCAAAAAACTACTAAAACAATTTTGGCTTATATTATGCGAAAAATTTATGTTGTTAAAAGCCAAAATTTCAAAAATTTGGTATTATACAATTTAAATAATCGTATATTTTTATTAAGCGCATCTTTTAAAAAGTAGTAAAGGTTTGGCAGTACTGTTTTGAATGTGTTCGCTGTGTCCGTATACTCGTAATGTGTATTGCAACTCTGTTGCACGCTTGCGGAAGCTTATACAGGTTTGAGACTTGGCTAGCAAACAACTCAAAAACAAAACAAACAAATTCAATTTGTGATTTCTTTTTTTACATAAAAAACATATTTTTTATTAAGCAATATTCAGTGCACATGGTTTTAAATCTCTTACGACACGGTTACACTATTTTTTGCGTGCCTTGACCGGAAGTCACTGCAATGAACACAGTTTGAAGACTTTGGTAATATGAAATATCTTAAAAAGGTAATAGAACAGGTTGTGAGTTAAGATTTAGAGCAGCTAAAAAATAAGAAATTTATTTCCTTTACAAGGTGAAAACAAAAATAATTTTGTTATAGTAAAAATATTGATAATGTTATTCGTTGAAAATAAATTCAGTACTAATTTCAATTGTGTAAATTGTGTTGGTTAAGGAAGCGAAGGATATGGGTCTGGTAGTGAACGATGGCAAGACGAAATATCTCAGACATCGCATTCTCGACGCGTCTCCCACGTCACTGGTTGACAGTCATAACTTTCGTCGTCTATCTCGGATTCAACGCAGAATCACTCTTGCCAACAGATGCTACTTGAGACGGAAAAGACAATCACATGCCCATAATTGCTTCGATTAACTGTCCTGCCGACTATATTTCCATAGACCATCGAACGATTGTTAAGTCAGGGTACTTCTCACTGCTGCCGACGTCCCTGTAGATGAATGCATTGCGTTGAAAAATAATCGTGTCTCAAAGATGCATACTCTCCTTCGAGGTAACCAAACTTTGGTCCAATCCTTAAATAACTGGGTGAAAATTTCATTCAGTAACGGTCTCTGCTCAGCCGGTGAAGCAATGTTCTCAATATTGATGGTACATGATATATGGAAAATTGGTACAGTGGTCACGCTACTTAATTTAGGGCAACCAGCAAATTGAGACCTTGCTACACCTGCCCATCACATATCATCTTAACATCATATCGAAACTCCTTCTTAAAAAAGAGGCCAAGTTACTGGCAATCACAATCGACAGTCTGCGTTGCCTCGCTCCCCATACGAATGTCATTGTCACCATAGTACAGAGCCGCAACTAAATCATCAAATCATCTTAAGTTCAAGACGTACAAGAAACTATTGTACATACTTTGAAGCAGTATGAATATGTTCGTTAATGGTATATATAGAAATTCAGCACAAAATCTTAATACACTAGTAGGGATATCAGGAAGCATCAGTGGGGCCACTCCAACTAATTCGGTTTCAGGGTCTGCTGAAGTCTAAGGGCAGCGTCTGTTCACCAGAGGCGCGGCTGCGAGCGGGCGTCGGTCTTGAGGCAAGCGGTTTGCTATTTAAATGTGTAAAAACTTTAATCTTACTCGCCTAGCACAACGCTGGGGTTGGAACCCGCCACGTAGAAACCAGCCTCAATTTTGCAACGTCTCGGATAGGTGCCGCTGCTCAGCTGGTTGTTGGCCGACATCACCGACAAGGACGAAAGCGAGTAAGTTCTCATGACACTTACTACAGCTGCCATATAAAGGAGCGCAAATTTGGTGTTGGATTTGTGGTGGGAGAGAGACTCCGTCGTTGAGTACTGGCAATCACCCCCGTGGATGACCGTCCCGCCACAATTCGCATCAAAGCAAAATTTTTCAATATATCCTTAATTTTCGCACACGCGCCGACGGAAGAGAAGGACGAAGGCCAAAGATGTCTTTTATGAGCGCTGCGCCCGACACGATGTGGAAATCGTGCTTGCAATTTTAATGCCAGGGTGGGCAAAGAAGATGTCTTTGGTACGACTGTTGGACAATTTAGCCTTCACAACGAAACATCTCCTAATGGGTTGAGGCTGATCGACTTTGTCGGGGGCCGAAATATGGTTGTCTGTAGTGTACTAGATACCAGCACAAAAAAATACGTCAAGCTATTTGGCTGTCACCTGATCGAAAAACACAAAACCAGATCAACCATATTGTGATAGACGGAAGACTTGTTTCCAGTGTTCTTGACGTGGTACACTACGAGCACTCAACATCAACTCCGAAGATACGCATGCGCCTCTGTTTATCGAAGAACTCCTGCCAACAAACACAAAGAAAGTTTGACGTTGAAAAGCTGCAATCACAACAGACTGCCGAACGACTTTCTACTCGACTTGCACTCCTGCTCTCTGAGAGTACTTATCAGCAACTCGGTATACGGAACCTGTGGGACGGCATCGCAAACTCCCTACGTACAGCTGCAAACGAAACTATTGGATTTCGTAAAGGTCGCAAGAATAGCTGGTACGATGAGGGCTGCCGTGTCGCAGTGGAAAGAAAACAGATTGCCTACATCACAACCTTGAGATCAACCACAGCCCGTGCAGGATGGGATAGATACCGAGAGATGAAGAAGGAAGCAAGACGCATCTACAGACAAAAAAGGAAGAGGCCGAGTTGCGTGAGTATGAAGAGCTTGAGAAGCTGGCCTACAAGGGTAATGCTCGAAAATTCTACGAAAAGATACGACGACTTACGGAAGGTTTCAAGAGCGGAACAGACACTTGTAGGACTCAAAGAGTTGACCTAGCCACCGATGCTCAGAGTATATTGAATTTATGGACCGAACACTTCTCCAACCTGCTGAATAGTAGTGAAAGTGAAGAATTCGGAGATGGTGTACCCGAAACCCCAAGCGATGACGATGGAAAAGATGTTACATTACTTGACCATGGAAAAGTTCGAATAGCAATCGCCCGCTTAGAAAACAACAAAGCGGCTGGAGCTAACGGCCTACCGGTAGAACTATTCAAACATAGCGGTGAAGAGCTGACAAGGTGCATGAGTCAGCTACTTTGCACAATATGGTCGGACTAAAGCATGCCCGTCGATTGGAATTTCAGTGTGCTCTGCCCAATTCATAAAACCCCTCCCCTCACATGGGACCCACAGTCTATGCCAGCGTATTGTGTAAAAGACTGAAGCCCACCGTCAACAAACTAATTGAACCTAATCAGTGTGGCTTCAGACTTGGTAGGTAAACCATTGACCAGATATTCACCATGCGCCAAATATTGGAAAAGAGAATCCCACCACCTCGTCGTCGATTTCAAAGCCGTCTTCGACAGCACGAATAGGAGCTACCTTTACGCCGCTAGGTCTGAATTTGGTATACGGCCGAATAAGCTGACGCTAGACAACACCGGAAGCGCAGTCAGAATTGGGAAGGACCTCTCCGAGCCGTTCGATACCAAACGAGGTTTCAGACAGGGTGACTCTTTGTCGTGTGATTTCTTCAATTTGATGCTGGAGAGAATAATAAGAACTGCAGAGCTGAATAGAGTAGGTACAATCTTCTATAAGAGTGTACAGCTGCTGGCGTGCGCCGATGATATTGACATTATTGGCCTCAACAACCACGCCGTGAGTTCTGCTTTCTCAAGACTGAATAAGGAAGCGATGCGAATGGGTCTGGTAGTGATCGAGGACAAGAAGAAATATCTCCTGTCATCAAACAAATAGTCATCGCATTCGCGACTTGGCACCCACGTCACTGTTGACAGTCATAACTTTGAAGTTGTAGATAATTTTGTCTACCTAGGAACCAGCGTTAACACCAAAAATAAGATCAGCTTTGAAATCCAGCGAAGAATAACTCTTGCCAACAGGTGCTACTTTGGACTGAAGGTAATTGAAAAGTAAAGTCCTCTCCCGACGAACGAAAACCAAACTCAACAAGTCCCTCATCGTTTCCGTCCTGCTGTATGGTGCGGAAGCATGGATGATGACAATATCCGGTGAGTCGGCGTTAGGAGTTTTCGAGAGAAATGTTTTGCCTAAGATTTATGGTCCTTTGCGCGTTGGCAACGGCGAATATCGCAGACGATGGAACGATGAGCTGAAGGTTAATTAAAAGACAAGACAAATGTTTGGCATTTTCTTTATAATAAAAATATAAAATACATTTTATTTACTTAGATTTTTTGTTTACAAACATACGCTTGTACATATGTATATATATTTTACAGCATTACATAGCTTTTTTTATTTGTAAGCTGGTTCTCACATAAAACTAATATCTCGTAAGCTATTCTTTTATGCAATAATTTCAGAATAAAGAAAAATAAATGAAAATATCCTTAATTGGGTAATTGCAAAAAAAAAAAAAAAACAAAAAAAAAATAATAAAAAATTATTATAGTTATAATTATATTAAAACATTCGTACACCAGCACACCAACAAAGCTTAATAGCACAACAACAAATCACAGAATACACGTACAATGCAAATAGTTGTTCGCTCTTAAATACATACACACACACACATCTCTACGTACGAGTATGTATGTATTTATAAAATAATAAAGTTTGGCTTTAAGTACAGAAGAATCACAAAATTATTATTAATGAAAACTGAAGTGTGTACAAAAAAGGCTGAGTAAAATAGAAGTGTGATTATCATAAATAAAAAGTGTTAACAGAGTATTAGAGGGAGAGAGATAGAAAAAAAGGTGGAGAGTATTAAGATAAACAATAAAATCATTTAGATTATTGCAGAAATTAAAATCAATAAAGCTTCGAGGATCCTAAAATTTAATCGCCATAAATTAAAATGCGAGTAAATCGAAAATTACACCGAAAAAAATTGTAAGAATTAAATAACAAAATTGAATGCAAATTAAGAATGACTAAAAAGCTATGAAAATCTTATGTAGTTTATCATTTAAAACAGAGATGCTCAATTGACGAAACGAAGCCATTTCGTTTCGTTAATATGAAAAATAAACTTGATAAAGAAATGATTTTGTTTCGTTTCAAAGTTGAAATGGTAAACCCATCGTTGGCTGCTTGCTATGTCATTAACTACACTATTCAATGTAAACTTTTAACGTTATCTGTTAACGATTTAACATTCACTGTTAACTACTCAACATTATCTGTTATAGATTTAACATTCACTTTTAAAAATGTTAAAATTATCTGTTAACGATTCACTGTTAACTGTTAACAATTTAAAAACTATCTGTTAACAATTTTAAAATTATCTGTTAACTACTCAAGATTATCTGTTAACGATTTTTAATTATCTGTTAACGATTCACCATTAACTGTTAACAATTTAAAATTATCTGTTAACTACTCAACATTATCTGTTAACGATTTTACATTCACTGTTAATGATTTAGCATTAACTGTTAACGACTTCACATCATCTGCTAACGATTCTCCATTAACTGTTAACAATTTAAAAATTATCCGTTAACAATTTTAAAATTATCTGTTAACTACTCAAGATTATCTGTTAAAGATTTAATATCATCTACTAACGCTTTACCATTGTCTGTAAAGAATTTAACATTGCCTGTTAACGTTTTACCATCATCTGTTAACGATTCTCCATTAAAAGTTAACGATATAACATGAAAAATGTTAACAAGTTTAAAATTATCTGTTAACGATTTAACATTAACTGTTAACGATTTAATATCATCTGCTAACGGTTTACCATTCTCTGTTAAGAATTTAACATTAACTGTTAACAAATCAAAATTATCTGTTAACGATTTAACAGTAACTGTTAATGACTTATCATTACCTGTTAACGATTTAATATTATCTGCTAACGTTTTACTATTAACGCGAAATGCTGTCGTTAATGTTAAACGGTAACAGTTAAGGTTAAAGTGGAAGTGTGCTGTTAATATCAAAGCAAGCAGCCATATTAACATTAACTTATTTAAATATATGTAGTTCGGCTAACGACAATATTTCCAAATGTTTCAACCGAATCGATAGCATTTTTTTTTGATTAACGAGAAAATGTATCGTTACAATGCAATATGTATATATATATATACAATGTTTGCAGCTTTGTATTTTTTGTTATTTATCAACAACATGCAAGTTTAATGACTGCGGTTTGATAAAATCTTTTCCTATTTGATTTTAAGTACAATTTATATTTATATTTTTCCTACCATATTTTTTGTTATTATGTGTAAGTATTGTTGTTTTGAAAATTTTCACATTTACATTTACTTTTATTTTCGTTTATTTGTTTTTCTGTATTTTTTGTTTTGTTTTGATTTGATTTCTGTAACTTTTCTTTATTAACGTACATTCATACAAATAACTACAAAATCCTTAAAAACGAATAACTTAAATATAAATTTCTATTATTTTTATGTTTACAATGTTATTTTATTTATTTATTTTTTTTTTGTTTGTTTTCTTTTCTTTTAAATTATTGTTTAATATAAATTAATTATTCGCTGTGGCGAAAACCCGCTGTCTCGTTGTTGTTGCCCCTGCTGTTGCACTGTGCACTTGCGACGCCAATGTGGACTTATAGTAATCGTCGAATTTATTATCCTCCACTTTCAGATTGCCATTGATCTCTTTCGGCAATTCGCCATTTGACTTTATGGCGCCATTTGCGTAGCCGTTACTCAGCTTGCCATTGGCGGCAATTTTTTCCTTCTGTAATGAGAGGGGGATGTTTGATTACATTTTTGTTTTTTTTTTGTTTTTCATTATTATAAAAATTTAATTTTTATTTAATAAAACATTTATGATTATTGAAAGTTTAACTCAACCAATTCTTGTGGAAGTTTATCTTGAATCTGCGCCGACCAGCTTTGCTGGATCAATATCGAATTAATGTCGTTGTCGAATGACGATTATTTACCTCGAAACAGCTGCTTGAAAAATATCAAAGAAAGGAATTTTTGTACCGTGTCGTAGCTAGAAATGAAGATTACGTATACTAGGAGAACCCCAAGAAGAAAAAATACTATGCCAAGCCTGGTGAATTGCTTCCAGCATCGTCTAAATCGACGCCAGAGAAAGACTTTCACGGTTCAAAAGTTAAAGCTACAACAATTCTTTGGGTTCCGGTTTTGGTTTTTAAAGAAATCAAAAAATGGTTTAATGATTTTATCGACCACAGAGAAGACTCATTTTGAGAAGGTTACTTAGACCTATTGTCCCGTTGAGATATCTATGTCAGTCCTGCCGAGGACCACCTTTCCAAATACTCCAACTACTTGGTGTCTTTTATGAAATTCAGGAGACCAATGGAAACTCTGCAAGGCAATCGAAGAAGAAATTACCGAGAAAACGATAATGGACCGCACTGCGAGCTGGACAGTGACAGAGGTAGTGTTCCATCGACTCCTTCTCTTCTACTTCGCTACAGCTGCGGCAAAAGTCGTTGGAGAAGCAGCCCATCCTTTTACCATGAGTCCACATAAGACAGTGTCCGGTTATTATGACGGTTGTTATAGTTATGGAGCTCTGGAGCATTGTTTCTCTCTGCCATCTGCTGTTATTCTAGTAAAGCCTACACTTAGCAGATACTTTGCCGAGAAAATCCGCATGCCCACATCATGTACAGAGTCTACCGTGGTTAAGAGTGTTTTCTTTCTAGCCAGTTTGTCGACCAGGCAGTCGTCTGGGCTGTCCCTATGACCAGGGACCCAAACCAGGGGCGTTTCGCATACAGTTGAGAGTTTGTTTATGCTCCCTCTTCATTTTATTGTCACTTCTGATGTGGTATGACTGCATTGAAGAGGCTTAATAGCAGTCTTGCTGTCCAAATATACTTTAATATATTGATTTAACGTTTTGGAAATGAGTGAACTTGAAGCGACTGCTGTTAGTATAGCTCTGAAGTGGTCGGAAAGTTTTCTATGTAAGCCTCTCAAGAGGTTCAGTGTAAACTTCACAACATACTTTGCCAACTAGTTTAGAGCCGTCGGAGAAGATGGCTACGGATCTTTGGTTTAGAACTGCTGAATTTTCCTATTCGCTCCTCTCTGGCCTTTTTTGTTGAAAAAGTAATGTCGAAACAGAAGACGGAACAATAGTAGTCCACCTCCTCCCAGAGTGTAGAGTTAAGTATTTTGACGTATTCTAAGCAGCTCCTCCATGGTTGAGCTGCAGTTAGTCTTAAGGCGTTGCAGCTCGCATGGAGTATAGTTCTGCTTGGATAAGATTAAGCAGAATTTCAAGGGCTTACGTAGAAGTTACTGGCCACAAGACACTGACTCCGTAGAAAAATATGGGATGAGCTGGAGTTGGTCGGATTCGAATGTTGGGCTTCCGAATGGGAAAAAGCACTGCTAACCACTGCTACTGCAGATTATTGTGATCTATAGTGTGAGCAGCTGTCTATGTGGTTCGTTGGGAGAGGTCAAAATCTTACATTGAGAACATACAGAATAGGACCTCGGCGCTACCCTGAGGTGCCCCTGAAGATACTTTTATAGTATCGGGAAGGAAATTTTAAAGTGACGAATTGTAAGAAAGTTTTTTTCAAAACCTGCCAAGTAAAGTCTCTTAAATAGCATACTTTACAAAAAGTTTTGCTAAAATCGTTATATCAGAAATTAACAACAAAAAAATCATATAAAATTTTTACACCAAAAAATAAAAGATTTAATTAAAACTTTTTCTTTTTTTTTGCATCACTATACCACTCACCTTCTGCTCCCGCTTGAGATATGCCTGTTTGTAGAAGTCCGAAAAGAGGAAATAGAACATAGCCGCATGTGCGCCAATAAAGTAGGCAAAACCAATTGGATAATTACAGTCGTTTCTGAAGAACAACTGGAATGAGTGAACCATAACCAAAACGAATTGAATCATCTGCAAGACAGTCAAATATTTCTTCCACCACAAATACTTTTGTACTTTGGGACCCATGGCAGCCAACATATAGTATGTGTACATAATAATATGCACGAAGGTGTTTAGGAAACCGAAGAACGACGAATGACCGCCCGGTGTAAACTTAACACCCCACCAAACCGAGCAAGGCATAATACCGTGATGGATGACATGCAGTGTGGACACTTGATCGTAACGTTTGCGCATCACAAAGAAGAATGTGTCGAAGAATTCGGTGAATTTGGAGATGTAGTACCACCAACAGCCTCGTGCCACCTGTGGTGAATAGAAAGGTGTGTAAATATTAATAATTTTTTTTTTTGGTATTTTTTTTTCGAAATTTAAGTAACTAATTTAAAATTTATTCAAAGATCGATCGATAAAAGATTTGGAAACAATTTTGGTAAAAAGTGTAAAATAGATAAGATTAATTCGAAAAATAAACTTTACGAAATGATTTTCTGTAATTTCGGCGAAACGTAATGTAATTGTTTATGTATAAATGGTAAAAACTCATAATTAATGTTAATTTTAAAAAGGCTTGCTTACTATGTTATTAACAGCACATCTCAATTTCAACATTTAACATTAGCTGTTAGCGATTTAACATTAACAACTGTGATCCGCATCGGGTAGAAAAGAAATTTATTTTTATAACTGCTTTAACTGAACAGCATCGATTGAATTTTTTGATTAACTTAAAATTCATCGTTGCGATTTTGAAACCGTACAATGGCTGCTTCCTTTGATTTTAAAAGAACACTGTTAGCGATTTAACATTAACGTTTACTGCTGTCGTTTTTGTTAAAGGGTAACATATAATGTTAAAATTGAAGAGCATTGTTTTTAAAATAAATTTATTAAAATAAATATGTACATATATTTCGGATAAAATTTCCTAATTTATTAACAAAATCGATCGAATTTGTTGAATAACGTAAAATTTATCGCTACGAGACAGTTTAGGTTTAACAGTACCAGCTCATCGGTTAACATTATTTATATATTTATACATTTATTTTAAGAATTTAACTATGAAAACTGTGCGGGCAATTCAATTTTAACATTATCTGTTAGCGCTTTAACATTATCTGTTAACGATTTAACATTATCTGTTAGCGATTTAACGTTATCAGGAAATGATGTCGTTAATGTTAGAGGGTAACAGATAATGTTCAAATTGAATTGCGCTGTTAATAACATAGCAAGCATAGTTTTTAAAATTAATTATTAAAATATAACCTTAACATTTCCCAATTCATTAGCAGAATCAATATAATTTTTTTGATTATCGTGAAATTTATTGCTACGAGACAGTTTAGGTTTAACAGTACAAGCTCATCTTTAACGTTAATATTATGTTAATATCATGTTAGCATTTAACATTTAACATTTAACATTACCAGTTACCGATTTAGCATTAACGCAAACTGCTGTCATTGATGTTCATACGTTAAGAGAGTTAACAGATAATGTTAAACGCTAAAATTGAAGTGTGCCACTTTAAAATTGATAAATTGAAATACATATATATATATATTTCAGGTGACGATAAAATGTCTACATTTCTAAATTTCAATTGATTATTTTTGGATTATCATGAAATTGTTCTTGATAGTCAAATGCCTTTTAAAATATTAGGCAAATAGATTTTGCACAATTGCGTGCATAGAAAGTCATGTGTTTGACCGTAATACATACATAAATAGACAACAAAGCACAGCTTCACTGTCTAGCTATCTCTTCGATTCTACTCTTTACTTTATGTTAATCAGTACTACGAATTCATCGATTCCATTTATTTAGCTTTAATTTCATGCATAATAAATGCTGGAATCATTCGACTGTCACTTTAAAATCATCAATAACAAAAACAAAATACTTCAACGAAATTTAATTTATGTGCATTAATTAAATTGGAAAAAAAAAGAAAAAGTTATATGAAACCTCGGGCAACTGCAGAAGATATTTTGACCTTCTTAACTGACTGATTGACAAACACATGATTTTTAACCAAGCATTTTTTGAGTTACTCTTTTTCTCTCTCTCTTTGTTTATCCACTACACGGCTTTAAATACTTTTTGTTGTACTTTATTCTAAACTTTTTTTTTTTATAATTTTAAGCTTTTGCAGACAGCTTGTCGCTAGCTCATTGACATCAATTATTGCTTTTGTATAAAAGATTGTCAGAAAGTTGCTGAGAATTGGTTCTGTGGGTAGGTGTTTAAACATTTGCACAATGTTGTTGTTGTTGTTTTTTTAACTTTAACTAATTCACTTGCTTTTATGCCGATAATTTCTCAGGAACCATAAAGACTTGTTTGTTTAGCGAATTCTTTTGCAAAAGTACATATTTTCTTAAGCCCAGAGTTGATGTTAAGTGATGATTTTATTTTAAATTATAGTTAAAATTCTTCTGAAAGAGTTGGGAATTCATTTTTCCAAGTCTCCGTTACAACATTCCTACTGTATTTGCGCTATGTCCTCGAAATCAAGAACGGAGGTCGTTTCGTACGAAGGAGGGCTCGATAGCAGTATTTACATACATAAGTATGTAATGATGTGTTTATTTTCTAAATTGACTTTAAAATTGAATTTGCTTGATTCTTCTGCTCTACAGACGTAGGCCTCGCTTAGGTATTTCTTACTTCTTCACGCTGTTTGTCGCCAATTGGAAATACCAAGCGCAACAGGTCTTTCTCCACATGGCCATTCCAGCGAAACGTCTACCTTTTGCTCTGCTTTCGCCGGCGGATACTGTATGGAATACTTTCAAAGCTGGAATATTTTAATCCATCCAGACCACCTGAACAAGACAGCGGTGTCTTCTGATTCGTTGAACTATATCATTATCGGCGAATACCTCGTACAACCGATCGATCTCAAAAACTCCCAATGCCGACTTATCAGATGTTGTCATCGTTCAAGCCTTGTCACCATCTAGCAGGATGGGAATGATGAGCGATTTGTAGAGTTAAGTCTTGGTATGTCGAGAGGACTTTACGGTTCAAATTTTTACCCAGCTCAAAATAGCACATTTTGGCGTTACTGATTCTGCGTTAGATTTCCAAGTTAACATTACTTTTGATATTAATGCAAGTTCAAAGTTAGACGAAATTTTCTACGATCTCGAAGTTATGACTGTCAACAGTGACTGTCGGCTCCCATGAGTCGCGCATGCGCTGACTGTTTATTTGATGGCAAGATAAATTTTGACTTGCCATTGTACACTTCGTTCTTTATCAAATCCGAAGAAAGCAGAACTAACGACGTGGCTGTTAAAGACTTTGATATCAGTTTCACCAGAACACGCAAGCAGCAGATTTTACCTTGCCTATAGATATCACATGACAAACAGTCAGCCTGCCGTTAACCTAGTTTGATATCGAACGACCCGACGAGATCCTTTCCGGTACTGAGGAAGCTTTTGGTGTTGCCTAACGTCAGCTTACAAAGTCTATTATAAGTTTTAAAGGAATTTCAAATTCAGACATACCGGCGTAGAGGCATACGGAGCTTTTCTCTCGTGTCTTGTCAAGATTTAGCACATAGTGAATATCTGATCAACTGTGGATTTATCAGGCCTAAAGTTATGAAAAAAAAGTGGCTCCGCTAGTTAGATTATGTTGTCCGAATGAATGGAAACGCTACAGATTTGAAAGAACTTGAGGCTGTACCTGCTGGTGGAAGCAGAGGAAGCAGATAAACTCCCCTCCGTTGAAAGTGTCAGGGTTGAGAGCGACTTTGTTTCACTTGGTTTTTCTTACTGGCGCCAGTCAGCGAAAAGAAGGGACGAATCGCGCGCTATTGTTGAATCGGCTGTAATAGTAAGCGATAACTACGCCAATGAAGAAAAAAATAAGAAATCTACGCTGATAAAGTCACGGTGTGTCCATTTTTTATGCATGGGGCAGAGCGCTCTTAACACGCCGTTATATTCTTAGAAAGTCACTGCTTCGTGTCCTCTATGGGCACAGCTAATTTTCTTTAAATAATGTTATAGTCAATGGGGAACGCAATAGAGCCATGCTGAAGGACTATTTCGTGCCTGAATCGGATGATGTTGATGTGGACGGCCTTTTGTTCCAACATAACGGCGCTACATATCATATAGCCAACGAAGCAATAAAATTATTATAGGAAGCTTTTGGTGAGCACATTATCTCACGTACTGGGCCTGTGGCGTGGCCTTTAAAATCGTGCGATTTAACAGTGCAGGAATATTTTTTGTGAGGTTATGTATACTAAAATATGGCCTAAATTACTGAGAAAAGTGTTCGAAAATGTGGAAAATTGACTTGAATTTACTCGAGCCAACCGCAGCGATCACTTGCCTAAAATTCTTATTAAAACAAAATGAGAAACAATTATATATATATAATAGAGCAAAAAGAACACCCTTTATAATTGAAGAAAAAATGTATATTTTTTAATTTTATTTAGCTTAGAAGATATAATTAAGAATAATTTCATAAGAAAATGATTAAAATATAAAAAAAAATTACTGCTCAAGATTATTTCAAAAATATATTTTGTGTTATTTGAGAGCGGGAAATTTAGGAAAAATGGTGAATTAAAAATTATTTATTTAAAAACACTTTAAAAGGCATAAAAAAAATAATAATTTCATAAAATAAAATTACAGTTTAACTAAATCATAATTTTTCTTATATTTGACAGCCCGAAATTATTTCCAAACAAATTTATTATATTCACCACAGCCACTTACCCGTAACGCACTCGGCGAATCCGAATAATCCACAGGCTCACAGCGAATATTATAACCATTCAGCCAACCGCCGATGCAGGACTATTAAATAAAGATACATTAAAACAAAACCAAAAAAAAAAAACATTAAATAAAATTGCAAATTTTACAATTACAAAAATCATCAAATTTACCTCATAGAACAGCCAAGCGCTAAATAATACTTGCGCAAAATTATAGACGATTAAGACTTTGCGCAACTCAAAAGGTTTTCTGTTTTCCATCAATTTGGGACCAAGTACCTATCGAACAAATAAAAATGGTGAAAAAATTAAAAAAAAAAAAGATTAACTGATGCTATGACAAATAGACAGACACTCAAAGAGCCAACAACAAGTTGTTGTTGTGTTCATATAAAAAGCGCTTAAATATTAATGCTGCTCATTGCAAAATTCAAAACATTACAACTAAATATATAAGGTGCTCAAACATACTATATGTATATGTAAGCATGTATGTGCATATGCATATGTTGGTAAGCACAAAGGCATCAAGCATAAATTTCAAGCTTCAGCCATTCCTTGCCGCTCAAATTGAGCGCAGAGGTTGCCGCCATTAAATGTGCCAATGCAATAAAGTAGACAATAAAAGACAATAAAAAATATATATGTAAAAGCCAAAACCACTTCAAATAGCATATGAAAACATTAAAATTTTTGACAATCGCATAACGCCATGCATACATATATACATACATACATGTATGCATACGAAAAAATGAGATGACAGCAATCATTGTTGCCCGCCTTTGATTTCGTGATTGCTTAGCATCAAAAAAAAAAAGGTCGGAAAAAGTGTGCAAAATAAATTTAATATTTTTTACTTCACAAAGCAAAAAACATACATTTGCACCAACAACAACAATAATGACTAATGACGTTGGCATTAGTGTCAGCAAAGGTGGCAATCATATGAGCAACCGTTTCTTATTTCTCATGTAATGAAATCACATTAGAGTTGAGCGCCAAAGCGGTGGCCAGGAAAAAGAAATCACAAGCGAAGAAAATACAACAAGAAAAAAAAATTGTTGAATTTCAAAATAAAAAAATGTGTAAATAAACGATAATATATAATTTGCACACTATGCAATTAACAAAATCAACTTTGGCTCATTTATTCGGGTGTGAATTTACTTTGGACACACCGCTGGCTGGCTTGTGCCACGGTGGTCTGGAAAGAGTAAAATTGTTGGTAAAATCCATTTCAGAAAAATTACTTGTGATTAAAGAGCAGTGGATTACAGCAAAAGCCTCGGTTGATTTTTGTAGAATTTTGCAACTTTTTGAAATGGTCTTCACATTTTGGGGACTGGACATAACTGGGTGTAGCATTTAGGCGGCAAGCTAATAGAGCTGCAATGTCCTAACTTATATTTTAGTAGGTTCAATGACTTTTTAACGACTTATCGCGTCTTCTATATCAAGAAAGCTAACACGTTGTGCGCTTCTTCTTTAGTGTCGCCCACCTCACCTGTGCTTCATATACTAGTATAGATCTAAAGACGCTTATGTTAAGCCACGTGGGTTGATAAAATAACTCTTCTGCTTTCGCTTAGCTGGCCTTCCTTTCAGTTTGTTCCCATCTTAAGAACTTCCCTGAGATACTTAACAGGGTTGGCGGTTAATTTACTGTTATTTCTTAAAGATCTTAGATTTTTTTGAGTTTACTTAGAGTTCTTGTCGCCCAACCTAATCAGCTCCGATTGCCCTCTCTGATACTGATAGGGACCTAGAGTGTGGGTATTTGGAATGCCGTAGGCTTCTAAGTACATGTGTGTTTAGGAAGTGGCAAGACCGTTAGGAGAATAGCTCTAATGGTCGCGTGACATATGAGTACATTCGGGATGTCTCGTTTGTGGTGGAAAATCCAGACTTCAGATTTTCTCTGAGTATGGGTTTTCTGCTAACCGGTCATGGGCCTCTAAATGCTTATCTGCATGAGAGGCACTTGAGCGGAACGGCGAGCTGTGAGTGTGGTATAGAGCGAGAGGATTGGATGCATGTGTTGTGTGAATGCCCGATGTACGCAGACATTAGGGACTTAGGCAGCATGGGAATAGTTAGGACAGATGGACGGTATAGGGTGTGTGATGTTCTATCATGTGGAGAGTACATCCGTGTGTTTGAAGTGTTTGCGCGTGATGTGTTTAGACGGCGAAGGCATCTGAGGTTTAATTGATCATTAGGTTAGGAGTATGAATGAGCATGTTTGAGTTGGTACGCGGAGAATGAAGTTCAACCCCAGGCCACCAGTCCGGAGCTGTATGGAAGCTCAACTGGTAGTAGTTTCGGCTACGAGGTTCGACCGGAGTCCTAAATCTGGTACCACGGGGAACAGGAGCCCTCGGAGCTTGCTCCGACCTGTTCATGCGGATAGGCCCCCTCGGGGAGCATCGTGGTGGCTGTGGTTTAAACCCAAATGCGGGAAGAGTTGACATAATGTCAGCTAAATGTGCAGTTGCATTGCAACCGGGTGCCGGACCCATAGTACGGCAGAGGTTTTAGATAGGCCTCGAACCCTACCAATGTGGTTAGTGTGTCCACTCCACACTGCCAATTTGTACCATAATGCTTGCATTATGGGGCGCTGATCAACGCATTGATTTGATCCGTTGTGTTTTTGAGCACCGTGAGGTTAGGCCGACGTCGGCAGGTACTCACGTAAAGTATATCGGACGATGCCCTCTCTGATAGCCGTGATAGTTGATTGGAAAGCTTCTTATATATTCCTATATAACTCCCGCATAGCATATTACTTTTAACTTTTTTCTATCATAGGCAATTGAATCGATTGTTTGTTATTTTATTAAGTATGATTTAAGTAATATTAAATATTTAATTAAAATTAAATTAATTACATTATTAATGCTTGATTGAAAGATAATTATTTACTTGGGTGTCTAGTTAAGATAAAAAAAATCATAAGCACGAATTTTGATAATATTTTTTTTTACTTAATAATTTAAAACAATTTATGCAGAGTTAAAATCATTAATTTTCTAATCAGAAATTTATTTTCAGAAATGATTTGACTAACTAATCAGTACATATTAATTGCATATAAACTAGATAACGAAGTAGACTGATTAATAATAATTGTTTAAATATTTATTTAAGTTAAAACTGAATTATCAACCATAAAATATTATCAATCGATTATTCTATATTATAATTAGGAGAAATAATTACTAGTCGACTAATTTCAAATTTTTATATTATGAAATTGTTCAATTATCGCAACATGGATTAAAGAAAAATAACTTTAAATTTTTCCAAAATTTTCGTTAACATAACACACTGCACCACAGTTTAAATACATAAATATGTAGATACTATACAAGACAGTAGACATGCAATTGGGTGTGGTTGCTTGTGAATGACAGTGAATTTGTTGAATGCGCATTTACTACCATCAAAATCAATGTGATATAAATAATCTGTTGAAATATGTGTTGATTAATTTAATTAAACAAATTTGTTTAATTTGATGGCATCGCTTGGTTGATTGGCATTTGTTTATCTGCTTGATAGGATATGTGTTTTTTATTGTCGCCTTTTTTCTATTTAAATTTTTTTTTGTTTTTGAGCAACATTATCTGCTTATTATGAAAATGCAGTTCAATTGTAGGAGGGGAAAAGTATTCCAATTTTAATAACTTTTTACTCGGTTTTTATGATTATATTATTTTATTTTATTTTCTTTATTTACGTTTAATTTAATTTTCTTATATTTAATTTTAATTTTTATTAATTCATTGTATTTTCTTTAATTTGTTTTTAATCATTGTGAAATCACTTTTAAATTTTATTCTTTTTACCTTATTTTATTTTAATTCATGTGAATTTCTAACTTGATATTTGTATTTATTTTCTCTTTTTATTTTATTTTATTTCATTTTAATTTTTTTATTTTTTTATTTTATTTAGCTAATTTAAATTGATATTATTTGATTTTGTTTATAGCCATCTTTTTATTTTATGTCACATTGTTTACATTTCATTTTACGTTATTTTACGTATTTTATATATAATATATTTTTTTTTTTTTAATTTTATTTTATTTTAATTTATTTTATTTTATTTTATTTTATTTTATTAATATAATTTGATTTCATTTTATTTTAAATCCTGTTTTTATTTAACTGAAAATAATGCCCTTGGTTGCATATATTCTACACAACCCGTTTGCAGTGTTTTTCTTAAAAGTTAAGCAAGAACCCAACTTAATTATGTTGTTTTCTGGCAATTTGATTGATTGCAATTGATAATGCGCATTTTAACCTAAACAAGTTCGTTGCTTAAGTCTTTTGTATACAACTGCAGAAGCAGGAAGTCCTCTATAAACAAAAATTCAAAATTCCAGTGCTAAAATTTTATGATAATAACCACGAATGCGATGACCTTGGGTATCATATATTTATAGAAAACCTACATATGTCTATGGATATGTGTATTTTTTATATATATTTATCTAGTGCTAATTAATGCAGTTATTGCATGTGAATGCATTCAGCTGACCCTGAACTCTTTAAAAGCTATTAAAATTGAAAACCAGCGGCCACAAAATAAATAAGAAAATAAAAAATGCCTGAACACATGTTTTTCGGCTGATAACTGCTGATGTCTTTGGGGATGAAGGGAAAATTAGCTTAAAAAAATTTTGTTTTGTTTTGATTTTGAAAACACGTTGCTGAACCAGTTTATTTATGGTGTCTGCATGCGCTACTTTTATTGCTTGGCTTAATTTTTTAAAGGTCCATCCATGAAATGTATGCCAGCATTCATGTAAATAAAGCAGATTAGATATATGAGCTCAACAACTGAAAATACATTCGTGTATATCAAATTGAGGCAAAATTCTTTCTGATCACTGTTGGGAAACTTATTTCACTTTTTATTATTATTTATTAATGTATAAATAAATATAAATTTTAAGGTTGGACAGTTCATTGCTAACCACTTTGCTAATAAAACCGCTAAACAAACAAAGAGGAATAAAGTACTTAGCAACCTGCTTCAGAAGGATGTTGGGTTTAAAAGCAGAATGCAAACTCAAATATCAGGCTACCAAATCACTGCTGCAATAGCATTAGCAGACTGGTTTCAAATGGACCTTATAAAATTGCCTTATTTATGATCAATATCATTTTATGTTCTAGCAGTTACTATTCACATTCACTCTTTACTTCTTCTGCCATTCCTTGTGTGTACCATCGCATTAAGGGCTATTGAATTTCCTTTCACGAAGCGGCCTTAGCACATTCTTAGCCTGCAACAGTTCAGTCACTTTCAATTATAGGCCTTTTATGAGCAAGCAAGTCAATGATTCTAGCTTACAACTAGTTTTTATAATTGGTTTATGCTTCTCTTCTACATAGGTTATTCTTTCTGTAGCTATGCAAGCTTGTATATGCATGCACACTCACCTTCACAAAGTATGCGTACGATAAACTGATTGCTATAGTGGGGAAGGGCGAACTCATCAAGGGCCAATCACGTGTACGCGGATCTGATTTGTTGTCCATGAGATCACGCCAGCCAGCGTAAATTGTGTTGATGTAGTAGTCCTGGAAAGAAGCAGAGAAAAGTAGAACATTAAAGATGTGCAATTAATGATTTCTGAGAATGGTAGAGTGAGAAAAAGATGATAAACCGGAAATATATATCTGAGTAGTTTATGCAAGATTTTCAAAAGTAATGAGAGTATCAAAAATTCGCCAAGCTTGAATGTCATAATGTATTTTTACAATACATGTTTTTTTTTTTTTTAAAAATAACATAATTTAGTAAAATTTTAAAATTCATTTAAAAAGCTTAAAAAGTTCGTTAAGAAAATGCATATTTTAAAAAAATCAAATGAATTAAATGGTGTGCTTGCATGGAATGCTGTTTATATAGTTAATTTATTTTTTATTATTGCCAAAATCGGTAAGCAAATAAACAATGCACTAAATTATATTTTTATACTTGTATTATTTTCTTAATTCACTTTGTTATTAAAAATGAAATAATCAAATTATTAATTTTTCGAATTATATTTATTTTAGTTATTTATTTTATATTTACACTGCCATTGATGAACTTTCGTCCAATAATAGCACCCACGCTATTTACAAATAAATGAATTAGCAAACGCTATATTTAGACTACCAGAATCTCTAACGAGGCTTAACTGTTTTAAGCAAGTTTTTTTGCACTTACGAATTTGTTGCCAAAGCCAAAGTATACTAAACTCACACTTACAATCGCTTGAAACCCAATTAAGCCTTAGTACTTAATAAAATACTTAAAATTGTATGTACGTATGATTTGTTGTTAACGCTAAACCATAAGTGAATACTTGATCTTTGGTAGGTAGATTAATAAAAGCTCAACGTAACGGTCACGTTTCCTTTTATGAGGTTAAGGCAATTAGAGAAAATAAAATTTCAATAAGTGACTATAATTTATATAATTTGAAATACGCAGTAAAATTAAGCTAACAAGATAAAATAAAGAATTCGTAATATAACAAAAATTAAAAAAAATATAAATAAAAATTAAAAAAATTAATATTATTGTAAGAATTTTTTTTAAATAATACAAATAAAATAATAATACTATTAACTAAATTAAGGTAAAGTAATATAAAATAAAATTAAACATATCAAAAAAAAATAAAATAAAATAAAATTAAACAAAATAAAATAAAACAAAATAAAATAAAATAAAATAAAATAAAATAAAATAAAATAAAATAAAATAAAATAAAATAAAATAAAATAAAATAAAATAAAATTAAACAAAATAATATAAAATAGAACAAAGTAAAATAAGAGTACATTAAAACAAAAATAACAGAATAAACAAAATAAAATAAAATAAAATGAAATAAAACAAATTCTTAAAATAATGGAAATGAAAAGAAAATAGCATAAAATAAACTAAGATAAAATGAAAATAAAAAATAAATAAGTAAAACAATAAAAAATTAAATTGATCAAAATGAAACATAAAGAATAAAATAATGCAAAAAAATACAAAAAAGAGATAAAGAAAGAAGTATAGCAAGGCAAAATAAATTATAAAAATAAAAAAACCAAATTCAATAAAAAGCAACCTTAAAAGGGTAAAATAAAACAAAATAAATAAACTAAAGTAAAGTCAAATACAACAAAAAACATAAAATAAAATAAAATAAAAACAAAATAAAAATTAAAGCAAAATTCAATAAAATTGAATAAAATAAAATAAAATTAAGAAAAAATAAAAATTATACTAAAATAAAAGTTAATGAAAAATAATATAAACTTAATAACAAAAGAAACACATTAATATTTAAGAGAATGATATAAAATAAGATATGAAAATAAAAAAAAAAAACTGAAATAAATTAAAATAATTTACAGTAAAAATGTATAAAACGTAGCAAAAGATAAATCAAATCTAAAACAATAAAACAAATAAATAAAAAGTAAATAAAATGAAGCCAAATATATAACAATAAAATGAAAAATAATACAGAAACTAAAAATAAAAACAGTGAAAAAAATAAAATAAAATAAAATTTAATAAAAACTAAATTATAATAGAAAATTAAAAAAAAAAACTACATAAAAAAATTAAAAGAAAAGTAATAATAAAACGAAAAATAATAATATAAAAAATTATATTAAAAAAAAATTAATAAATATAAACTAGCAAAATTAATTAATAAAATTAGAAAAAGAAATAAAATAAAAAAAGTAAAATGCAATGCAATGGAAAAAAAATAAAATAAAATATGAAGGAAAAAGAAAAAAAAATTAAATTGAAAATTATAAAACAAAATAAATTAAAGTTAAATAAAATAAGGCAATAAGTAGAAAAATAGAATGAAATCAAATAAAATTGGAAAAAATAAGTAAAATAAACTACAAAAAAAAAAAAAGACAAACTAAAATTGTCTATCACAAATAAGGGAAAAAAGTCTAGGCAAATAAAATAAAATTAAACCAGATGAAACAAACTAGAATCAAATGAAGTGTAATAAAATATATCATAAAATTCAATAGAAATAGAAGTGAAGACAAAAATAAAACAAAGTAGCCACTAGATTAGTTAAGAGAATTGGTAAGCACCAAGAAGTTAGCTGTTTTTTATACACGACCTTGTGCCATTTTTTATTCACCAATTCATAGGCTATAATTCAAAAAGATATTAGATTTTAATAAACAAAATTTGTAACAAAAATATTTTCCGGTTTTTTTTAGTGCTGGTTTCGAGCACTAAAATTTTTAATTACATTTTCCTTAGCGTTGGACTTACACTTCTTATTTGTATACCTCCTCAAGCAAAAACTTAAAACAGAACAATAAATCTGAGCAAAGCACGCAAAGCATTTAATTTTGCACGCATGCAGCTATAATTATGTATGTTCACCTTCCTACCATGCCGACTAAATTAGTGTCACCACTTAATCGAAATATACACACAAACATATATATTGCATGCTATTTACTCTTATATATTATATGCACATGCCTGTTTACAGAATTCCTGTATTCAACATTTGCCACCGTCACCAACAACAACATCTTTGCCTTCTTTGTAAATCTTGTTTGTAACTAGAACAGTTCAAAGAATTACAAAATAATATGTATGCTCAACAGCTTGGCATATCTGCGCAGAGTATCGTGGCTGAGTAGGCAGTCGTTTAGTGCTTCTAGTTGTTATCTGTTATATAATTGGACGAGCGTATGCATAATTTTTTTTTTTTTTAAATTAAGTATGCTGTACACATTTTAATGCCGAAGTGACCAATTAAAATCAGATTAGCTCATTTTAAAGCATTAAATTTTAGAGAATGAGGGAAATCAAGTTACAATATTTTGGTGAATATTATAAATATAATTACATAACTACACAACAATATGGCGTTTCATAAGCATTGTAGTTAACATTCTGGGGGCAATGTTAGCGGCTTAGGTGACCTAGATTATTTTGAACGTGCAATAATGTGCTAATTAAATTCATACATATTTAGATGCTTATCCCTCGCATTAGTTTTGTATTTTTTTTTTTTTTTTGTAAGAAAACTATTTATGATAAAATATAAAGGTCTGTAATTGCTCTGCGTACATTTGCAATTTTTTTGTTTGTAATAAATTAATAGAAATAAAAACTTAAAATATTATTAAAAATTAATAACTCAAATTAATTTGTAAATACGGAGTTTTAGATTAAATTGTTATTAAATTGTTTAAATCCTTTAAATTAAAGAACGAAAATTGAGCGCGAGTTTTGAAAAAGAACTACTGATATATTAAAAAAAGGTTAATTAAGCAACACAACGAATTTTTTTACCCCTTAAATTTTTATACTTGTTTGTATAAAATTATTGCATTTGAGCTTTTGTAATTTAAAATTTTTTGTGAAGAAAACTTATTGAATTAAAGTAATGTGAAGAAATTATATACATAGCACTTCACAACTGTATCTTTTCTTTTGCTTATTTTTCTAATTTATTTTATTCTCTTTATTTTATTTCATTGCATTTATTGTTTTTAATTATATTTCGTTTTATTTCATTACATTTTACTTTGTTTTATTTTATTTATTTAATTTTATAATTTTAATATTTTTCTATTGAAATATTTTTTTTTTTAATTTTTTTTTGCTTATTTTTTACCTCATTTAATTTTATATTATATAATTTATTTGATTTTGTTTTACTTTTTCATTTTAATTTATTTTTTTTTTATTTTGATTTATTTTATTTTCATTTTATTTTATTTTATTTTTTTATTCTAATTCCTTTTATTTTATTTTATTTTATTTTATTTTATTTTATTTTATTTTATTTTATTTTATTTTATTTTATTTTATTTTATTTTATTTTATTTTATTTTATTGTATTTTATTTTATTTTATTTTATTTTTTTATTTAATTTTAATTTAATTTATTTTTTTATATTTTTATATTTTTATTAATTTTGTATTTTATGTTTTAATTATTAAATTATTTTATTAATAATCTATCAATTATTGTCATTAAAACGTGACTAAATATTTGATTATTCGGCTATAATTTAATAATCAAAATAATAATAATAAAGCCTGCAACTGCTTATAAAATTATGTACACACACATATGCTGTATATGAATATATGTGCATTAATGCTTAATTTGTTAATTTCACTTTAGTAAACATTTTTTTTTTTTATTATTTGCGTCATACTTAAGTATACAGTGTCTGAGAATATACATATTTGCACATAAATGATTTTTTTATGCACTAAACACGAATGCTTAGCCATTCACAATAATTAATATGTATTTTCTTATTGGTGTAACTCTCTGCTTTTACAGGTTAGTGTTTTAGTATGAGTTGAAATAGAAATAAAAAGAAAAAAATTAGAGAAATTGTGTACTTATAAGGAAACAATTAACTAACCAAGTAATCACAGTAAATAAATAAATACTAGTTTGAAAAGAATGTTCTACACCTACAGAACTGTTTAATATTTGCAAATGTTGATTATGTTAAGTATTATTTAACAGTCGAACTGTAAACGCATGTGGACTTTTGCGCTTTGCTGTTAATGT